ACTTTACAAAGGAAACACCCGCAGAATAGACGCAACGCACCCGCAGAATAGACGCAATGCACCCTTAGCATCAGCGCACTGTGTCCCGGGCGGAGGGCGCGGAGGGCGCGGAGGGCGCGGAGGGCGCGGAGGGCGCGGAGGGAGCGGAGGGCGCGGAGGGGCGGGAGGGGCGCGGAGGGCGCGGAGGCGCGCGGAGGGCGCGGAGGGCGCGGAGGGGCGCGGAGGGGAGCGCGGAGGCGCGCGCGGAGGGCGCGGAGGGGGCGCGCGGTTAGCGCGGGAGCGCGGGGCGCGGAGGGCGCGGAGCGCGGCGCGCATATGCGACGCGGAGCGCGCTGAGCGCGCGCGCGGAGCGCGCGGAGCGCGCGGAGGGCGCGGAGGGCGCGGAGGGCGCGGAGCGCGCGGAGCGCGCGGAGGGAGCGGAGGGGCGTCCCCACTCCCCTGCCCATCAACCGAATGTCACGCCCGCCGCCGACCCCATCCGTCAACCTCCAGGCATGCATGGTCCACGCCTCCCCACGCCACACCCCTCTCCCAGCAAAATTTAAATGTTCCCTACATTTCCGAACCCCCTCCCTTGACCGTGTCGTCTCCGCCTCCCGTCAAAAGTCATTCCGTCCGACCCTCCTCCGTTGACCGGTTCCTCTTCGCGGCCTCTTTCGCCAAAAAGCGGTCCGACAAAACGCCTTCCGCGTTGAAGCGCTATAAAGGAGAACCCAATTTCAGAATTGGGTTTTCGGGAAGAATCCAAAAACAAAGAGCACGCGCAGAATAGACGTTAAGCGTCCAAGGCACGGGGGGGGGGGGCGGGGTGGTTTTTGGGTTTAGGGTTGGGGTTTGTGGTTTAAGGGGGCTTTTAAGGGCTGCACCCCCCAGGAAAATCAGCCCCCAATTCGGTCAAAAGTCCTTGCTAGGCTTCCCCCCTCTGAGGGTTTAGGGTTTAGGGTTTGGGGTTTGGGGTTTAGGGTTCAGGGGTTTGACCTGGCTGACAGTAGAACGTACACTCTCAAACACCCTCGACCTTCCTGAGCCAATCAAGCAAGCGCCAAGTCAGCAGCAAACGCTTACTGTACTTAGAGGCTTGGCTGCCCAGTGGTACCGTGGGAAGTTCCCCCTTATACTAAAAATCCTGAATCGGTATTGTACGAGGGGGTACTAGAAACCCCATTAAGGACCGTTGGTATAAGGGGGAACACCCCAAGTGGTACCCTTTTCCTTTTTTTGGTTCAAGGTTCCCTGAAAAAGTAACCAACCCAAAAAAGGGTGCCCTCATAAGAGTACGGTTACTGGGCTACCAAGAGGATCACGGGTATCTACAAGAGGATTACACAGGAGCGCAACTACAGGTATGATTGGCTGGAACCATTGTTTTTTACGGGGTGGCTTTCTCTTTTCGCCCTACTTCTACATTGCCCCTTGCACCTTCAGAAAACAAGGAGGCTCGAGAACCATTCCGGGATCGAGTGTGTAGGGGCTGCGAAACAGGGCACGCTCAACTGGAGACGTCCAGATGGCCTGACCACTCCATGCACCCCCCCCAAGTGCAAGAAAATCCCAACCGAGATCGTGTTTTTCTCGACTTTGTGCATGAAGACAAGGTGCCTTTCCCTACATGCTTGCAGAGATCTTGATTGGTGGCGTGGGGGCCTGAAGGGCTCTTTCGCTGCGTGATAGCGAGCGCTCAGCCAGATGTGCCTTCGGACCTTTCTACCCCTTAGGCTCAAAATGGTTCTAAGAAGGCCTTCGGGCCCAAAAACCCGAAAATAAGAGCCCTTAAGGCTTTAGAGTACCTGAAGGGGTGTTGATTGGCACAATGCGTGCCTAAGCTGGAGCTGCACATGTTTCCTCCTCCCCCCACGGTCACCCTCCCCCCAACACCTCTTCTGGGGTGTGGGCGTGTGAACTGCCAAGAGCTTGCGATGTTCATGTTGTTCCAATTTTGAGATAACGCCGGTTCCACGAGGGGAAAAAGGGGGGGGGGGGTCGGAGTAAGTACTAATAGTGCTTCCGTAGCGATAATCACCCCCAAAGCCCTATTCTAAGTACTGAGGCCCCTGCATTGTACCGCTTTGGGCGCCCTAGTTGAACAAAACTGGCAATGTCTTTTCAGAACAGTGACCCCCGAAGTGAACAACAGTGAAGCTGGAGAACCGAGACACTGTTCCAAACTGGAACTCTTCCCCCCTGCCCTAAACCCTAAACCCTAAACCCTAAACCCTAAATCCTATATCCTAAACCCTAAACCCTAAACCCTAAACCCTAAACCCTATTCCCTGAAAGGTGAACAGCTTGCTCAGCTGTGTCTTCGCCGCCTTCGGTCGACAAGGATCCGTCTCGCTGGGCCTCTTCATCTGCCAGTGGGTCCGGGTCTCACACCCTCCACTGTACTATATCCTTTTTTTCTTCAATTTTTTTCATTTTTCTAATTTTTGTTTGTATACACCCAAGAGGATATTAAAAGCAATATGTTTATTAGGGTTCTAAGGGGAGTATAGTCTATCTGCCGAGCAGATATATGGAGGTTTTGGAACATCGGGGACCCCCAATGTGGACCCGCAAAATAGCAAGATTCTGTTAGAAGAAGGACCCCACTAAGGCCCCCCTCATTTCGAAAACCCCCCATCTTTAGCAATACCAGAGCTATTCATGAGTTGTTGTTGTGATGTCTACTCGCAGTTCTACTCGCCCTTGCAGTAGCATCACAGTAGCAGTAGCCGTAGTCGTTGTCGTAGTCATGGTGGTGGCGATATGGGGGTGTACGATAATAGGGGATCCCAAAATAGACCCAAACAGTAGGATCCCCCTATATTCGCGACCCCAATCTCTCTTGCACCTTGGCGCAGGTAGTGCAGCTCCCTGCTGCGTGGCTTCTGGAGCACATGCGGCTGCATCCATTCCCAATGCCCCATCCAATGTCGCGCCAGAGCCCTAAACCCTAAGCCTAAACCCTAAACCCCAAACCCCAATCCCCAAACCCTAAACCCCAAACCCCAAACCCTAAACCGCCTAAACCGCCCAAACTGCCTAAACCGCCCAAACCGCCTAAACCGCCCAAACCCCCTAAACCCTAAACCCTATACGGGGGGACAACCAAGGAAGGAAATCAACTCCCCTAATCGCCCTGAACTTATATTTCCCAGATCGAACCAAGAAACAAACAAGAACACGAATAAGAGCAACCCAGGGGGGAAGGAAAGGGGGAAGGAATCCACACCCTTACCAAACCCTAAGAACCCAGGCACTACTTTTTGAACTTGTGGCTTTCTGTTCAAGCCCATCTTGAGCCAAACATGATTTCCGGGTTCATTAACCCTTCCAACTCTCAACACTAACCCTTTTCTACAATACCAATTGCAGCTCCGCACTCCCCCTGTCCTAGGATTTCCTAGGACACATTGGAGATGCAGATCTTTTGGCCAAAAACTGCCATTAAGGCAGCAGCCAGCTGCTTGAAATGCATGTTGTGGTTTAACGTCTTCCAGGACGGAATTATAGCACATTGGCTAACCTACTGCCCACAGAGAATCTCTTTTCACCATGATCCTCTCATCACTGAAGACTCCTTGGCCTTCTTCACCACAAACCGTGGTCTTCGCTACGCGAAAAGCTACTGACTTCTACTATCAGGGATTTCCATACCCTTAATAGTAACCACCACATTATCAGCACATTGGCTGTTCCAGCGCACCTGTCTCCAGAAAGAGAAAAACCATCCCTTCATCCATACCATCCAATCACTTCTTTTTCCGATTGTTGGCAATCTTGAGGTGAAGTTGCAGCAGAATATACTCCAGGTCCGAAACTGTAAGAACAGGATCCTGTACGCCCCTTTGAATTGAGGATACCAATCCTTCTCTCTTTGCGTCCTCAATCGCCTGGCAAGATTGACCCAGCTCTGCATTCGCAGTGGCAGACCCTGGTGCATCCGCATCAGATGGACGATCCTTTTCCTCAGGATCTTGCACCATTACCACCTCTTCTTTTTTGGGACTCTGACTTTTCTCCCTCTTCTTTGTCTTTCCACCGACATTTGACTTTGTGCGCGTCTTCGAGGATTTTTCCACTGCAGAAGCCACCACATTGGATGTTGATCCACCCTTCTCAATGATCGTCGGCATCTTCTTCGGCTTTGGAACCATGAGAGTGTAAGGATCTTCGATAGCTGCAGCTTTCCTCTTCTTTTTTACCTTTTTCTTCTCTTCTTCAACGGCAACCTCCGTCTCCGAAGTCTCAACCACTCCTTTCTCGGCAGGAATATCCTTGCTGGACTCCCTTTCTAGGGACCTCTTTTTGCCTCTTTTGGAATCCTTTTCCTCTCCCAAATTGGCTCGCTCATACCATATCCTCAGGTCATTGACCCATTCTTCCACCTCCGCGAGCGAAACCTCATACGACTTCACTACTTCGAGAAGTTCCAGCACGGTCAACATTTCAGTGGTCCACGAAACCCATTCTTGATCCATTTGGTCAGCATCTCCAGTGAACTTCAGGAGTTTGAACAATGGGTCCGCCTCTGCTCGAGCCAAATCTGGCTTGCCACCGGACAGAAATGAAATCGCCTCCATCAACAGTTCCGTCATCTTGGTCTCTTCGTCATAAACCATAAAATCCTCCTCATCATCATCGAACTGTTCAGGAGAGATCTCCTTTTCTCCACCATTTGCACCAGACTTTCTCCTTGGACCATCCCTTGGGGGCGTCCTTGGAGACCTTGGCCTCTGTTCTTCCAGCGGAACACCATGCTCAAAGACACACCTGTCACCAAACCGACACTTCCCAGACCGAGCAAACTGGACGCACCTCACACCAGTTGCATCATGCGAGAACCCACAATCCTTTCCAGCGAAACATTCTCTCCCTGCCACATAGTATTTACACCAATACGAATGTAGCACCACATCATCTTCGGAATGGATGAATTTGCAGTCGTCACCAAATTTGCAGCGATCTTTCCCCTTGCCGAACCAATAGCAGAAGCCCTTCTTCCTCTTCTCCAAGCGCTCTGCCTCATACCGGTCCATAGGGCGATTGTGCTCTACATGAACATTGCCATGTACCTGGGGACTGCTCCCTTCACCCGACGTGCTATCAGTATTTGGTGCTTGGAGTACAGCTGGAAAACCTGGCCTTGGTCCTACCACCTTCATGATCGGTTTTCCGCCAACTCCTGAGCCATGCTGAGACGATCCAAAAACATTGAACATCTTCGTGAAGGCCTTTCTAGTGCCAATCTTCTGCACCCTTTTGATTGGACGTTTCATTGCTCCAACCTTGCATCCAGATGCGTTCAAACGACACAACCTCCTATAACCAACTCTATGTCCCTTCTTCCAAAGAGCCATAAGAATTTTAGAGGCAGTAACATTCTCCACCTCTACCTTTTCCAATGATCCCTCACTTCCCGGAACAAACCCATCCATATCTGAAGACCTTTCCATCTTTTTTGACACCACTTCGTCGAGGTAGTCTTCCGAGATCCAGGGTAAGTTCCTCTTAGAGGAAGGATTGTCATCATTGTTTGGTCCTTCACCAGGATACCCTTTTGTGCTGTCAAAGATCTTACCAGTAGTGCGGTCCTGCATAGAGAAATTCGAAGCCACGCGGGAGTACACTGACCACAAGAAAATCCTTGTGTCCGCCAGTCTTGATGACCCACTGGATGTCTCCTCTTCCGGAGAAACTTCTGGCGCTTTGCCATCCCCTCCAGTGTCACCACTTGTCTCACCTCCAGCATCTTCAATGGGAATAAGGGATTCATTGTTCCCTTGATCAAGCACCGCATCCTCTGGTCCAAGAACTTCCAGCACCGCTGTCGAAGGATCCACCTCTTCATCAGCATCGTCGTCCATCCTTCTCCAGAGAGCCTCCAATTGGTCTGCACAAGTCGCCGCTTGAAGGAACTCCATCAACCGGGCCCTCCCGCGCTGCCAGAGAAATTCCGAAACCATCACCGACCCTTGGGCTCCAAGATTCAGGAACGGGTGAACCATTTTGGCTACCCTCGCCATAAGTTCAATGTGAACTTCCATGCCTGGACTGCGACTCCAATCATAGGCAATTGCCTCCATAGCAGTTCCAAACTTGTCAGTATTCTTGAACTCCCCTTCCAGACCAGGAGACAACAAGGCACCCATCACCGAAAGAGGGTAATTTCCCACCGCCGGCAAGCACGGGTTGTCATGGAACGAATGATGCAGGTCACTATAATGTCCTTGATCTCTCCTTTGAAAAAGGAGTGCTCCAGTCCCTAGCTGGGCATTCATTTCATCCACTTGAACCATTTCAGCACATATCCTCTGTGCCATGTACGCCATTGCTGGCCAGACGGAACGATCGGTAAGACCGCGACGCATAACCCAATCAGTTGTTGGCGACTGAATCAGCGTCCTTGGATCATACACCAGAACTACCATCGCACCGTCACCCATTGACTGATCAGCATCGTCCTCCAGTGCCAGGTTCTCATCCTGTTCGCTTGCACCCTCGGATGACATGCTAATAACCAAATTTCGATCCATCTTATTGGACCCTTTTTGGCAGTCTCTTTGCCCCACCGGCAACTTGCCAACTGCAACCTTCCAATAAATCCGAGTCAGAAGACCTTTAACCAGCAATTGCTGAAGGTCATTCCTCACCGGACAAACATCCAATATCTTCGCACCATCACCACGGAGTTCATTGCTCCCACCTTCTCCTTCTTTTTGGTCAGTCTCCTCGCCAGAAATTTGTACTGCTCCTTCCAGCGCCGTCTCCTGTCCAGCCACTTCTTGCCCAGGAAGAACTTGAGCGCTTTCAGATACATTCACCTGTCCAGCAACACCTTGCCCAGGTAAAACCTCATCCGTGGAGCCCACCGCCAGCGAACCAACCATAACTGAACCATCCCTTGCTCTTTTTTGAGATCGTTCAGCTCGACGAGAAGGTTGTGGTAGCGAAAAAACTTGCGAAGTCACTTCTTGGCGGGTCTCCCCCCGCGACGCTTTGTCGCGCCCTTCGCCAAGGTGAACCGATTTTTTCGGCCCGTCATTGGAGCCTGAAGAACCACTTTGCGGAACATTGCCACGATTCGCAGTTCTCTGTGAATCCCTTTCTTGCAAAAAGATTTCCTTCAGGCGTTGCGCGGCATTGGTCTCCTCTTCGCTTGAATCGCTTGAGGAAGCGGCATACGAGACCAAGGCCTCCGCCTGTTCATCATCATCCACCACATCTGCCCACGCTCTGCTGAACCGATACGACAACCCACCACGAGGCTTCAGTTCCAGTGGCTTCGGCTTTTCCACCACTTCCGCCGGTTGCACTCGTCGTTGTGACCGAGAGCGTGGCACCTGTCGCACCTGTTTTTTGTCCAGCAAGGGCCTTCCCCTTCTCACAGGGTTTGATCTTGACCGATACTTTTTTGTTGGTGGATTCACCGGCGGCATTCCAACTCCCACCAACCGCAGCTTCTGTACGCACAACGGAGACCTCTGCGCAAGCGTCCAACCATCACGGTACCTGACCTTATCAAAAAGCTCCCGATAGGAGCCTCTCGGCATGGTTTTTGCACCAGAGTCTTCAGCTTCACGCACCTGAGTGAGGGTTCGCACCGCCGCTCTTCCAGTTCCTTTGTTCCCAGAAGATTGTTGTACCCGTACAGATGCATCAGAAGGAACTGCTTTTTCCGGTCCTCCCGGGCGATATCGGACATCACCAACCAATTGCAGAATTTTGCATGCGGTCACTTTGTTGATCCCTTTGTCAACCAAATCTTCCACAAAAATAAACTCTTGCAAGTCCGACACATTGGTCACACCAAGCGTAATCATCACCTCACTTACATGAGGGGTATACACCCACAGGTGTGCGTTGCGAGCCATCCAATTTTCAATTGGCTCCTCCGGATTTTGAAGCCGAGTACCAGTGGATGCAGCCACCGAATTCTTTTGTTCATCAGCTTCTGCTTCATCCAGAATACCTTTTTCACCTTCTTTTTGTGACACATTGGTCATTTGCAGCGCTTTTGGTGCCGAGGATGAGGAAGATTCAGCTCCCCCACTCGCAGGTGGCTGAAAAGTGCTTCTATCCGTAATCTCCCATCCTCTCTCTTTTTCAAACCGGACCTGATTGGCCACCTGTACCAAGTGTTTCAGGAGCGTCAGCCGCTCCTCTGACATCTCGTCGTGGGAGTACTTGCAGAAATTTGACCCTTTCCGGCAACGTCCTCTGAGGTAATAATCGAAACAGCAATGGTGGAACCCTGCGTCCCTTAGTGCCTTCCTGGAAGCATTGTCCCAAGATTTGCCGGGCTCCCAAGTCCCTTCCAATGCTATGTCATCGTTGTGAAGATACCTGCATGTAGTCCCATATTTACAACCACCTTGATTGTAATACAGACACAGACGACCTTTTGGCTCACCCGACATAGGTTCACCCTTTGATGCACCTTTGCCAAAATTGTACTTGGCCCGGAAGGCCAAATCCTCCCGCTCCTGCTGTGCCTCATCCACTGTACCTTCCTCTGTGGGAGGGTCACCGATGTTCCCATCCTCATCATCAGCTTCTTGGCTATTCTTTGGATCAATTGACCCTCCTCCTGGCCAACCTTCACCATAACGACGATGCTCATAGGGACAACCATCACCGTTGCGACACCTTCCCTTATTGAAGAACTTGCACAGTTTGCTGTATCCAGGTGACACAGTCTGTGGAGTCATGTGAGCCTTTTTGTACTGGTCAGGGTCCATGTAGGCTTCCATTGGCTTGTTCTCCCTTTTGCTCATGGATTGCACTGCACCATCAAGCTCCTGCAAAAATAGCTTGGTGTCCAACCAAAGCGCGTTCCAAAACTCATCTTCCCCTTGATTCAGCACCGTTGCCACCGCTTCACCCACAACTGGTCGAGTAAATCTCCTTTTTCTGCATGCCAGTTCGAAAAGCGCGTTGTGGTACTGTTTTCGGGAAAAAGTGGTTAACTTCCCCAAGCCTGTGCTTTCTGTACCATCAGGCTTCCAACCATCATTTTGCAAGATGCCATACGCGCGCCGAGCTTCCGCATTGAGGAATGCCTGATCTGCAACACACTCCTGTAAATCTTACATCGGGCGACCCAACAGCATCCCAGTAATTTTGCCAACATAGGCTTCCTCTTCGTTTCCATTCTCCAGAAGAGCTTTGTAGATCTTTTCTCCATAAAGTTGCCTTTCTTCTCGTTCTTCAGAGGATAACTCCTGTACCACAAGCTCTTCATCGGATTGCTCTTCCTCCTGTTTCCAGTCCCATTGACCGTTGGAATCTTGGTACCATTGACCAGCATACCATGAATCCGTCCACCACGTACTCCAGCCGCTGGGTTTCCATTTCCGCAGCGTCGAAGAAGAGTCCTCCACGTCCTCTTCCAAAACCAGAAAGGTGTCCAAGATTATGGTACCATCATCTTCCACTCGTTTCACTGTTCCATTGACAGTATCACCAAATTTGAACTGATATGCATTGTTCCCTTCTGCAGGAATCAATACATTCAAATCACCAAGGTCCAAAAAGGCTCCATACCCATTGATGCAGCGCACTAGACCCATAATCTCATCTCCCTCTTGATAGCAATGTGTCCCAGGTGATTCCAAGGCTCCCGCTCGGGGCACTTTCTTTGTATGCTCTTCAGAAACCACCTCTGTATCATCGGCTCCTGGCGCATCCTTTGTCTTCACCTTTTGGTCACACTGCTCGTCCTGCTCCACGAGTCCCACAAGCTCATCTTTTTTGTGCTCCTGGATTTCAGGACCTCCCTTTTTCTCCGCCAAAGGCTTTACCTCATCTGCTGTAGTTCGCTCGGTGTCGACTTCCGGCGAACTTCCAGACGGCAACACTTCTCCCTTTATGGGAGTGGACCCATCATTGGAGTCCTTTGTCACACCTTCTGCAGCAGGCAAATCTTCTTCCACTGCAGGGCGATTGAGTCGATCATCCACGGCAGGCACGCTTTCTTCCACCGCAGGCTCCTTTGGTTCCATGGCTTCCAAAGGAGAATTTCCACCATCATTGACCACAGCTGCCTCATTGGCTCCGGTGTAGCCCTTGCTATTCCGTTCCTCGCGGCTAACTTCAGGTTGCACCAGTGCGTCCACCTGTGAACCTCCATCATCAGCTGCTGCGGAGACCTGCGCCCCATTGTTGCAGTCGCCCGTGGAACGTAACACCATATGCACCTCAACCCGTGCTTCCTTCGCACTCCAGGTAATATCTGGCGCATCGACCCGCGCATCATTGGCGCTCCAGGCCTCATTTTTCAGATCTTCCGTGTCTCCAGCTATTCCAGAAGCTTCTTTTTCCCCTTGAATGGCAGGAACCTTGGCACCAAACGAAGAGACCTCCTCAGTCGCAACACACGACCTTTTCCCTCCGTCTTCCGAATCTCCAGGACCACATTCCTGAACGACAGGTACCACATCCACCACTCGCTCTTCTGCAGCCGACACAGTTCCGATCTCCACATTGGGAATTTTTCTTCTGGACCTACCGATTCCACCGCTGCCACACCCTCAGAAAGTGCTCCCATTCCTTCCCGATCCAGATGTTGAGCTCCAGCGATGTCTGTTCGGTTTCCAGGAATCTCCTCCTCATCAGGAGAACCCGAGGTCGGGGCGTCACCACCAGCCCTAGGACCGCTATCCCTGATAGTAGAGGAAAAATCTTTTTCACCTAAACTATTTACACTACCCTGGAATGCCCTCGTAGACTCAGTCTTCGGAGTAGAGGATGAAGAATCCAGTGCCGCCTCCATTTCCAGCTCATTGCCCGAAGGAGACCCAACCACCTCGTCACTCTTCATCTTTTCACCTACCACCGGCAATGTCCACTTGCTTTCCTGCGTATCCAGGCAGTAATAATATTGTCTCCCATCTTCATGGAGGTGCCATTCCCACGTTGTCCCATCGCACGCTTTGATCAGATGCTCATCTTTCCGAAAACCATCCCTTTCAGAGACCTGACGCATCTCGTCCTCTTCTTCTGACAACTGTCGCAACCTCTCAGCCTCCATCTGTAGGATCTCCTCCTCCCCCATGGCGTATTCAGCAGCAGGTGCAGCTTCAAAGCTGTCCGCACCCTTCTGTTCGTGACCGCTTCCACCACCTTGGGAACTCGAAGATGGATCCCTTTTGATCTTGTTCAGAGGCCTCCTGGCCGCTTGCAGCACTTCTCCAATCAGATCGGTCTGAGACTCTTGGTCTACCATTCGACCCGAAGTCGAAGTCGACGGCTGATACCCGTGTTTGTGCAACACTCGTAAAACAGTCACCTCCATTTCACGATCTATACCACCAGTCGCGTCCCAGTTCCTTTTCTCACCAGGCTTTGGCGATACAGAGACAGCACGTCCTTCAGCTTCAGTATTGCTAACCATATCCACATTGGGATTCATACCCACATTGGGGCTTTCTGCAACCAAGGCTTCTTCCAGATGTTCTTCAGCGCCGGGAATCACCTCTTCCAACACCGATCTTTCACCCAGAGACTCAGCTGCACCATTTCCAGCTCCACCATTTTGTCCACCATCCGAGGCAGGTTGGAGCCATCGCTTCGGAGAAGGCATTGCTTCTTGATCCCAAAGATCTTAAGACAACACTCAACCGCAGGGAACCTAATTTGGGCTCATAACCTACGGGGGGACAACCAAGGAAGGAAATCAACTCCCCTAATCGCCCTGAACTTATATTTCCCAGATCGAACCAAGAAACAAACAAGAACACGAATAAGAGCAACCCAGGGGGGAAGGAAAGGGGGAAGGAATCCACACCCTTACCAAACCCTAAGAACCCAGGCACTACTTTTTGAACTTGTGGCTTTCTGTTCAAGCCCATCTTGAGCCAAACGTGATTTCCGGGTTCATTAACCCTTCCAACTCTCAACACAAACCCTTTTCTACAATACCAATTGCAGCTCCGCACCCTAAACCCTAAACCCTAAACCCTACATCCTAAACCCTAAACCCTAAACCCTAAATCCTAAATCCTAAACCCTAAACCCTGAACTCTAAACCCTAAACCCTAACCCCTATACCCTAAACCCTAAACCCTAAACCGCCTAAACCCTAAACCCTGAGCCCTAAACCCTTAGCCCTAAGCCCTAAGTCCTAAACCCTAAGCCCTAAAGCCTAAACCCTCGTATGGCCAGGTATGTGGCTGTACTTGGTGTGCTTGGCCTGTGGATTGCATCTTTTTCCGCGAACGCCCTAAACATGATCTACAATGGTGTCCTCATGAGGCAGGGTTTTCAAGCTCCAGCCGCACTCCCTGTTCGAAAGCAGTAGGTTCAGTAGGCGGCTTGCTTGTGTATGCCGCAGCAGGCGCTCCTTGCAGTCTCTGCGCAAGCAATTCCACGGCAAGCCGGCCTACGAGTGTGAGAAAACGCGTGGCGTGAAGGAAATGCATGGTGTGGTCCCTGTGCACTGCCCCGTGCCTCCCGCCGACAAAACCTCCCGTTGGTTGAATTGTGAGTTTTGGGGCTTGGGGCTCAGCCTTAAAGTTTGA